TTTCTTTTTCCAATTTCTCCAAATCATGGCATACCATGTTGTTAAAGGTCTCTAGGAAGGGACCTCTATCTCCAACTGGATAGAAATTAGACTTTCTTTTAAAAGAATTTTGTTTATTGAAAGCCTCACTAGATGTTATAGAAACTTCTGTATCTCTTTTTAGAAAAAATCTTTTCAATGTCATTTTACGGATATATTTTTGAAGATCTATATATGTATTAAAATGATTCATCTTCTGATTTGGGGCAAATTTTAATCCCTTATTGAGCGCTTTTAAATCACTAGTTGATAATTCTATATCAGTTAGATTATAGACTCCATATTGTTTTTCTAATTCCTTTTTCTCAGGAAGTCCTCCCTTCGGGGATCTTCCTCTGACCTCTTTCTTTTTGGTGGGGTTAGCTGACTTTCTCGTGGGGTTTCCTTGATGTTGTGTCGGGGTTTGAAAAATTGGGTGATTCTCCCTTCTTTGGGATTGGATTCCCTCCCTAAAAAAAGATTTTCCCTTTCTTTTTGATTTCCTTGATTGGTATTGGCCACCTGTGCATAAGTTCTTTTTGGTGAATAACAATAATTTGGAGAGATAGACTCCTCTCTTTCCTTCTGTCTAGTGTATCTCGGTGACTTTCTTAAAAGTTTGTGATTGTTTATTTGTGATGGTCTATTTGGAGAGGAGTATCTTTTTCTATTCGTTGGAGAAAAGTGTCCATTTCTATCTTTTGGTGAATATCTAGAGTGATTGATTGAATCATACTTTTTATAAGTGGAGTAATCATCTTTTCTTTTTAATTTATTCCCATAACCAACATCAAAATTCCTTGTATTTCTTTTAAAGTGATTATTATATGTGTGTCTATTCTTAATTTTATTTGTTGTGGAAAAAGTATTATATTTTTTATCATTTCTATCTCTCCTCATTTTATTGTTGTTTGTTTCAGCAATTCTTTCTTCTAATTGATTAATTGTTTTACAAACTTCCTGTTCTTTTTCTTTATATCCAATTTGATCCCTATTAAGGGTTCCCCCTGTTTCTAATGATTTTATATCGTTTTCAGTTTGATCTCTACTTTCTTTTTCAAATTCGATTATCAATTTCATTAGACTTTGTGAGCAGGTTTCCAATATCAGGTCCCACTTGCTCAGAAACTCCTCATTATCTGTCCCACATGCTGGAATTTTTTCCACCCTTAATCCTCTAGGGATTAAACCTTCTTTAAGATAACTCTCTAAATAGGATATTTCCCACCACTTTTTAGTCTCTTTTATCATTAATCGCCCTAATTTGGTGAAATAAAAACTATCAGTATCTCTTAAAGGGATAATATCTGTGCCTTGTTGAAACATTTTTTCAAATCTAACATTTCTGCCCCTCTGAATATTTGCAAATGAATTAGTTGCCATGATAATTGTGCCACACTATGAGGAAATATACAAAGATACAAAAAAGCAATATGTGTGCACAAACCACAGTGCAATAAGTGCTCAACAGATAAATAGCAGAAAAAGACCTCCCTGAATCAGGTAGGATTTCCCCGAAAACTTCCTCCTGTCTTCAACAGAACATGTATAGAAAAAAAGGGGATGATCTGCTAAACAAATAACAAGAACAGTGCATAGCGCATAACTGTGTATATGAATAAACCAAATGTGTAGTTTTCAAATGGCCACTCACACTTTCGTTGAAATATAAATGCCTTGGAACTGAATTGCTGGGAAGAACGGGTCGAAAATTGAAAGAGAGAATTTTGGAACATCAAAATAATATTAGGAAAAAGTCAACAAAACATATAGTACCGATTCATTGCACTAGTTGCAGAAAATTTAATTGGAATAATTTTTCCTTCATGGGTATAGAGCGGGTTGACCCTTATTGGAGAGGGGGCAATTTAATGAAAAAGCTCTCGCAAAGGGAGATTTTTTGGATAAACAAATTAAAAACGTTGCAACCACATGGGTTGAATTTGGATATAGACCTATGGAGCTTTTTTGAAAATTAATACTATGTAGGTACCTTTTTGCACCACTAGTGTAAATGTTGCATTTTTTCTATATATTTTTTATAGTATAGGTAATAATTTTTCCATATCATAAATATCATAGTAGAATATTTTTGTATCATTAAATTTGAATGGGTTTTGGGATGGACAAATTGTCCTTTTATATATTCTGAAATTCAATGAATTCTCATTATATCAGATTTATATATACTGGGATTTGTTGGATTCCAATTGCGTCGGATTTGTGTTTACAGATTTTTAATCTGCATTCTGAGATTTGACGTTTTTTGAATTCAATTAAATTTCAATTATAAGTATACTTTTTCCATTCATCAAATTTTATTTAATTTTTTTAATATAATCTATTTTATTTTTTATATCAAGAACAACTTTAAAATCAACCAACAGCTCTTTGTGGGATGTCTTTTGACATTCCACTAAAAGAAAAAAGAGGACAGGGGATGGATCGAATTCTATTTTTTATATTTATGGAATTCTATCCTATATTTTATAATTCAATTTAATTTCTTAATCTTATCCAATGATAACGTTAAAATTAATAAATCTCCTTTTCGGGATGTTTTCAATATCTCATCAAAGGAAAAAAGAGGAGAAAAATAATAATGTATGGATACTCTATATCTTTTGGAATATTTGAAAAAATGCAACATAAATTGGGATATCACGTTTTATCCACCTTATAAGTGTGTGTGCTATATTTTTATTTTATTTTTCATTTTTATTCTCATTTTTATTTATTTTTCTTTATTTTTATTTTTTATATTTTATTTTTTATTTTATTTTATTTCATTTTATTTTCATTTTTATTTTTTTATACTACATTATATTTTTTACATTATGTATTTATTTCTGTTATTTTTTGTTATGTTAGTCTGTTTATTTACTATTATATATCTTTATTTGATTTTAATTTGATTCATATATACTATATAGTGTATACAGTTTTTTTGTTATCAAGTATAATGAGGCTGTGTTAGTTATATATATTTGGAATCTTGTAGTACTGTTTGAAGTGTATAATCCTCCCTTTTCCCTCTCCCCCCCTTTCTTCTTGCCTCCGATCCATGTAAATTAAATCTGCCTCTAATGAGAGGGACTTGGAATAGAAATACGTGATTCATACATAGAAGGCATAAAGCACTTCCGGGTTTCGGCAGTGGAACGCATGGTGGAACGCATGCGAAACCGACGGACGCATGTGGATGACGTCATAGATATCGGCCGTCGAACTGAAATTTCAAGCACCTGATTCGGATAAAGAGTTTTGTGGACATTGGGGGAGGTATAAAGGGTGGTGAAGGGAAGGGTTGTTTATTGTTCATTTGTATGCTGTCATTTCTGGTCACTGAAGTCCCTGAGGAAGTCCTACATACGGACGAAACGCGTAGGACCCCTGGTGGTGACAGTGAGAATACATCCATTGTTTTATATTTAGATGTAAGTGATTAAATTATTTTTTCTACATTTTTAAATATGTACTACAAGTTCTGTTTTTTTCTTTGAGCACACACCTTTTAACTATTCCATGAGAGTTTAAAAGTGGTGGAAGAATCATTCCTGGAAGGGCATTTATGCTGAAAAGAGCAATTTTGCTGAAAAGAGCAATTCAGTTCCAAGGCATTTATATTTCAACGAAAGTGTGAGTGGCCATTTGAAAACTACACATTTGGTTTATTCATATACACAGTTATGCGCTATGCACTGTTCTTGTTATTTGTTTAGCAGATCATCCCCTTTTTTTCTATACATGCTATTTGGTGGTGTCTGGTGGCAGAAGGATCAGTCACAACTTGAAATCCCACTAACAGCAGTTGTTTCACAAGACCTGGAAGGACTCCATTCCACAGACCTTCAGAAGCTGGAACAAAGCAGAGACCCTGACACCCATTGTACAGCGCTACGGAACTTGTTGGCGCTTTATAAATAATAATAATAATAATAAAGACCAGGTTACCTGCAGGTCCTATCACTGGGATGAGGATTACTTTCAGTGTCTTTACACTGCAACAGGTACCTATGTGGCTATTAAAAAATCTTTTCTTTTTTATTTACCTGGATTATACCAGTATAAGGAGACTTTTCACATGAAAGTTTTAAAGCTGCTACACAGTGAAGCAGCTAGTTATGTATTGAATTTCATTGTTATTTTGTATACTGTTATTTTTTGAATTTGTCAATGTATGATTTAGCATGTGCACATGTTTTATTTAAGGGATTCTACTGATTTATTAACTGAATACACAGTATTAATTTCAATAAATAGTTTATTTTAATTTTTAACTAGTATTTTTTTATCCAGCATTATTTTTCCACTTTACCACTTCAGGGTTCCCCTCCCCCACCCATTTTTTTTCTGTGCATTCTCACGTTTTATGAATTGTGATTATATAAATATAAGTCTCTGCTTTAACCTAAATGGACAGTCCAGACCCCTAAAGTGTGAAGAGTGTGTCCTCTTTTTGTTTATTTTATAAAAAGTGCAGATTTCAATAGAATTTGGCACTTTTAAATATTAACCTTGTTACACCTCTCTGGCTGTCAATCAGATTGCTGGTCCTGTTACTTCCTGGTTTGTTTAGTTCAGTGGAGCTAAATTGAAGAGGCAGGAATTACCCAGGTCACCTGCCCTATAAAGACTTCTCATTGAGCTGCATTGGTAAGTCTGTGTTTAGAAAATGGGCTGGGTTAGAAGGGGAGGTTTCCAAAGACTTTAGACAAGAGATCTGCAGCTTTTACAGTTTTTTTGGTCTTTTTAGAAATATCCCCTATGAAACAAATAATAATTAATAAATAATTAAATGCATGCATATTGTCTTAGCGAGTTTCTACTAAACAGTGATTTTTGTTTATTTTGGATTTGGGCAGTGTAGTATCCCTTTAATTATAATATTAAAACAAAGTTTTAAAAAACAAACAACAAAAATGTTTTTATTGCAGAACTTAGCTTTATTAAAAACTCACAAGTGACATAACTGAGAAGAGCTGGGATAACTTTTTGCCATTTTTGGATTTATCACATTTGTGAGTATACTGCTGCCTTTTGCCAACTGGTTTATAGTAAGGCGTTGATATAATTTATTCATATCGTACGTACGATCATATTCATACTAACCAGTTAAAGACATAAAAAAATACTTCCATACATTTCCTTCAGCGGCTTTATAGTAACTTCATATTTCACAAAAATAGAATATGTAAATATCATTAAATTTGTATGAATTGCACGTTTACAAAAATAGCTTCACATTTTATTTTATGGAGCATATTGTGATATCGTTCACAGTATAATTACATCCCCATCCATTCAGTGTTTGCAGTCTGCAGGTGAGACGAGTCTTTAGAATCTTTATGACGTTTTTGGTGAGATCGTTCTACAACAGTTTGGCATTGTGACTTAAAGGCATGTGACAAAAAAGGCTTAGCTTGTAACTTGATAAATCTGCACTTGCTTTTTTTTAATGGTTTCCAGAAAACATGATACCGAAAGCATTAAAGGACCACTATAGTGCCAGGAAAACATACTCGCCAGGCTCTGGGGAGAGGAAAGGGTTAAATCTTACCTTTTTTTCCAGCGCCAGGCGGGGAGCTCTCTTCCTCCTCTCTGCCTCCGAGCCTCCTTTTCGGCTGAATGCGCATGCGCGGCAGGAGATGCGCGCGCATTCAGCCTGTCTCATAAGAAAGCATTCATAATGCTTTCCTATGGACGCTTGCGTCTTCTCACTGTGATTTTCACAGTGAGAAGCACGCAAACCCCTCTAGCGGCTGTCAATGAGACAGCCACTAGAGGCTTTAGAGGCTGGATTAACCCATTTATAAACATAGCAGTTTCTCTGAAACAGCTATGTTTATAAAAAAAAAAAAAAAGGGTTAATCCTAAAGGGACCTGGCACCCAGACCACTTCATTAAGCTGAAGTGGTCTGGGTGCCTAGAGTGGTCCTTTAATAGTACGAAACATAAAATAATAAAGTAGAAGTTTAAATTCTAAACAAAACGTTTACAAGGATACATTTACAAGGTTATTTGCGAAACCGAGGAGTGTCAGGAATTGCAAACTTTACGGCAATATAGCTGATCTGGAAAAAAATGCTAACTTGAGTGAATTGTTCCATTTTTTTTTTTAAATTTAAACAAAAATTAAAAGGAACACCGACAGGTACACACTGCTTCTCCACCTGGGAGCTGTAATTTACGTAAGCCTCAGCCGGGACCACATGCTTACTTGACCGCACATTCCTATTGTAATGACATCAGCTGGCGTGACCTTGCAAAGCAATGCGATCTTTGGCCAGGTGGGTTACCTAACTGGCAACAAGCAGGTTTAGAAGGGCTGGGAACATGACAGTGTTCCGTAAAATTCCTGACAGCTGACAGCCCAATTTAGCGAATAACCCTGGCATTATAAAAAAAGATAGGTCAATGTGACTAGCATTATACATTTGTATTTCACAGTCAATAATACAATTTCTGCATCATTATTGCACCATTACCTATGCATGTTATTTTATGTGTTCCAGGACTACACGAGAATCTGGAAAGTAAACTTGTGGTCTCACTTATTATACCATATGTTCATGTTAAATATGTGTTTATTCCACTTTATTACTTAACATTAAATCACTGTTGTTGTGTAATATTTTGGTTACTTTTTGGTGAAGAGTTAAATAATTTCAAATGCCAGCTTCTTGGACTCTCTAATCTAGTATTGCCATATATTGGATCATTGCACATACCCTTGTCCACAGACCTCCTTTATGTGGGGGCATTGAGTGGATATATGTAATATCTCGATCACTAGCTAGGAAGTACATTATATCTCAATCACCAACTATAAACACTATATATTAAATTTCATTGTTTGCCCTTCCTTGTACCACTTTTGGTAGGCACTAACCACTGCGGACCCCCCACAAGACTTGCTGTCTTGGAGATGATATGATCCAGTTGCCTGCCCATCACTGTCTGGCTCTTGTCAAAGACACTCAGAACCTTTCGTTTGCCCGTTTTTGCTGCTTCCAACACATCAAATTCAAGAACTGACTGTTCACTTGCTGCCTAATATATCCCAACCCTTGACAGGTGCCATTGTAACAATATAATGAATGTTATTCACTTCACCTGTCAGTGGATTTCATGTTGTGGTTTATTAGTGTATGCATATATCCTTGGAGATGAAGTTAGTTAATACCCCTTATTACTCCTTCCTCTGATCCTTGTAGCTGATAAATATATTCATCTTTTGAAACATTATCCAAACCCCTATGATACCTAATTTTAGCTTGCTATACCAAAACTGTGCAATGCCTTATTTCATGTGGCTATGTGTATGGGCTGTTTGGTAGTCACAAGTCACAATGAGGGTGATATATGAAAGTGCTACTAAGGGGGAAAAAATAGGGCAATCGCCACGGAAACCAAAGGAATAAACAAGGACATTCTGACGGTTTCCACGGTGATTATTATTAGAAACGTGTCCCAGTTTTCTATTTAAAACTCTTTTATTAATCGCTCCATATTTACGTCCTCTCATTTGGCTGACACCCTCTATTAATATGTCGTCTTTGTATTATGGTGACGAAACTCAAACTTTAAGGGGAGATCAATCTTTTTGAAAGAGAAGATCCCAGTATTGACAGACGCTGCAGTTACACCTTATTATATGTTAATATTTCTGTGAGCGTGAATTGAGTTAACAAGAATTCCCTGTGCTAACTTGGGTTTGTGACGATAATGCCACATTAGCTGTCAGCATATGGCCAACTGTGAAAAGACACAAAATAGGCATTCTGCATCACGCCATATGTTCATCCTTCACCCCTTAAATGGGTGGATCTGGATCGGTGGGGTAAGACAGTATCATTAAATTAATATTGTAAGTGTATCTGCGTAAGAGATGCAGGTTCTATTCTGTTGTCTGGGAATAAGCTGCATTGATGAAAAGTGTGCAACAATTTTTTTTTTTTGTAACATCAGCAGGATATGCTCTTAATTATTTTTCAATAATTTCTGAATTTTATACAGATTCATTAAAAGTCATATTCTGTGCATTTTAACCCGAATTGCAGAATTGTGGGGGAAATAGCTGATCTGGAAAATTCTGCATCTCTTATATTTACAGATTGTCTGTTATAGCCTAAATTTTGCTACAACTCAGAGTTTAGAGAATAACCTTTCAAAACATAAACAAATAAAATAAAAGCCAGGTACGAATTCCAAAAGAGTTTTTAGATTTTGTGATTTGCCTTACTACTACATAATGCAGTTGGACCCCTACCTTACTCTTTCTAATTCATCATAGAGACCATGTGTGTATGTGTATATATATATATATATATATATATATATATATATATATATATATATATATATATATATATATATATATATATTAAATCCAATATATACAAAACCCGGTGCTCAGTCACCAAATAAATAGTAAATCCCACAAAATACCGTCACTCTGGGAATTCGAAATCTTCAATTTATTGTCAGATCCATGTCAACGTTTCAGCTCCTGCACGGAGCTTTCATCAGGACATCATATTTGGTATTTGTCCTGATGAAAGCTCTGTGCAAGAGCTGAAACGTTGACATGGATCTGGCATTAAATAAAAGATTTGGAATTCCCAGAGTGCCGGTATTTTGGGGGATTTACTATTTATTTTATGACTGAGCACCGGGTTTTGTAAATATTGTTGGAGTGCAAGAGCTTTTGAACTGATATATATATATATATATATATATATATATATAAAATAAATCAAGAGGGCTGCACTCATCTGAACATGCATACATTATAAGGTGCTGCTGGGGCCAATATATCCAAAATACAGAATCCAGCGCACTCGCTTATTCACTAAACAATGATTTCAAATCTTAGAGATTGTAATAGTTTTATTTAAAAACACCTCACATAGACAAAACATGATGGGGGTTTAGTTACATTACATGATCATACATGGCATAAGCCTGCCAGCTATGTACCCCATATTCGGCAGGTCCTATCCTAGTAGCAGCCTAATGCTTGCTCTTATGAGATTAATCCACTTACTTGGGAAATATTTCCTTACTGGGACTCTCTGCAAGTCAAGGCTAAATAGGGTCCTGGAATGAGGCACCTGTGACAGGGAGGGGTGCAAAACCAAGGAGTTGGCCTGGGACTTCCAAATATATAAAAGAAACCAAGAGGGCTCCCATAGCATTGTATGGGTTTATTAGGGAGGATGTGCGTATGGTGTCACATAAACACATTCATTTCTCACACTTTGATGAAGCCTTGAGTGGCATCTAACTCACTAAAATGAGTTACATTCACTCCTCTTTCCTGTTCACCTGAATTATTATCTCAAATTTAATTTAGGCCTTACCCCAAGTCCACTTTAAGATACATGTAAAAGTTAGGTCATTCCTTCAGTATACAGCAGGATAAACTGTATGACACAGAAAAAAATAACAGGATCAATCTAAAATAACAAAAATATAATACATAGTGCAATAATGTATTATAAAAATATAATACATAGTGTATATACAAGAAGTAAGCCCCTATATAGGATGTAGAGCCGTCCCAGGCTGTATATGATGGGCAGGAGGGTGGCCGTCCTAGGCTCTATATGATGGGCAGGAGGGTGGCCGTCCTAGGCTCTATATGATGGGCAGGAGGCTGGCCGTCCTAGGCTCTATATGATGGGCAGGAGGCTGGCCGTCCTAGGCTCTATATGATGGGCAGGAGGGTGGCCGTCCTAGGCTCTATATGATGCGCAAGAGGGAAGGGTCTACATTCTGTGAGTCATCCTATATAGGGGCTTACTTCTTGTATATACAGCGTGCAGTATGTATTATATTTTTGTTTTTTAGATTGATCATGTTATTAGAATCTTCCTGACTGGTGTAGTATTTATTTTTTATGTGTCATTTATCTTACACACCTTTCTATCTTTTTCTAGCTAAGATAAACTCTATGCCTACTGTAGGCTATGACCCAAGTCCACTTTAGACTGTGCCTCCTGTTGACAGCAGGTCATGACCAGAGACCTCATTAGGTTTTCCTCCTATTACAATAGATTATGACCAAAATGTTCCATGAGGACTGGGTTGGGGAACACTGCCTAAGACTGTGCATCCTGTTGACAATAGATGATGACCAAAGCCCTCATTAGACCTTGGCTCCTGTCAACAATAGGCCATGACCTATCCCCACACTAGGCCCCTCTAATGTTCTAGGCTGTTTTCTTACCATGTAGAGATTTAATCGTCTAATAAAACAGATGAAGATAGGGAATGAATGATATAGTCACCTAAAGGTGTTCTGGCAATCTGTTCTATAACCAGTGATCATATTACGTATCGTGTGATCCCTTCTGCTGATTAATCACACATCGACTTCCTTCCATTTAAGGTGAGTAATACAAATTCCGGATATATATTCCGGATGATTCCAGCCATGAGGCATCTCTCTGTATAATCTTCCCTTGGCATTGGTGGGGTTATAATAATCGGTTGATTACATTCCATATATCTGACATTGTATCATATCCTGTATTTTTCAGATGATGGTCTGCATGATATTTCTTCTTTTTTTTTTTTTTTTTGACTGAGTTTATTTTCCGTTTATCGCCTTTGTTAAATTAAAACGTTGGGCATGAAGAGAACATTTTTTCAATGAATCTCCACATTTCTCTAGATGACAGTTCTGCTTGCCCTCCTTGAGGACCTCACTTGAAGATTTTGCCCTGGTTGAAAGGCTTTCCTACATTTTTGAATTCTCCCTCCCATGAGAAATATTCTTTCACAAGAGTCTTGCACTCCTCACTATCGGAATCCAGTTTCCTCCAGTTGTAGGATTCATAGTCAATTTGCCAGTCCTCGCTCAGTGTGAATGCAAGGTCATGACCTCGGAATATCCACACTCCGGAGATAGTACTGTCATTGTTGGTGCCAAATAGAATGACACTGGCAAAGGCAGTTTTACGTAGCTTGTCCAGTCGCTGGAACATACCTGTAATGAGATTGCAGCTCATGAATGCCTGAGTCAGTTCATCAGGGAAGCGATACTCAGAGTACCAGATTGACCATCCTTCTTTGTCAAAATGTTCCCAGAAATAAGGAAGAGCCACAGTCAGGGTGTCTTCATTAGAATATTTCCTCTTGAATTCATCCATAACAAAAGGGCTCTTAGGGAGGTGGGCATATGGGTCCTTGGATTTGGGCTCTGCTGCCAAAGCCTGGTCTGCCTCATCCATCTCCTCCTCAGGAGCTGGAGCAGGAGGCTGCTTCTTCTCTTCCTTTTCTTTCTTTGGCTCCTTTGGTGGTTTCTCCTTCTTGGGTGTCTCTTTCTTCGGCTGAAGCTCTGCAAACTTCTTAGCATCAAACTGAGCCATTTTGTCACAGAGCTTCACCTCTCCAAGCACAGCACGGAACTGTGGCTGATTTACACAAGTTACAAACCATCGTGTGACATTGCCAAACGGTTGGCGGAAGGACGGATCCAAAACCTGTTTGTAAAGCCACAGGAGTGAGCACACTACATTAATGTCAGCCAAAGTGATTCTCTCGCCAACCAGGAAGGTTCGTGTCTGCAGATGGGAATCTAGTGCAGCCAGCACATGCTTCACCTCCTCCTTGGCCTGTTCTGTTGCCTGCTTGTTGTATTGCATAATGCCCAGTGTTGGGAACACCCGGGCACTAGCTGGTGGGACAATGTGGCTTTCAGAGAAGCTGACCCACTGAATGATATGAGCCTGGTGTACACGGGATGTTCCACGGAGTTCATCGTTACCCACATAGTGAGCGATAGCACTGCTTTCAAACAGACAGAAGCCGTCAACGTCCTCAAACGCTGGGACCTTGCCAAGTGGGAATTTCTTAAGGAATTCTGGTGTCTTATTTGTTACGCCAAATTGAAATTCTGGAGCCGAGGAAGCGACCTTGATGGGAAGCCCTGAATACTGGGCAGCGATGAGGGGTTTGTATGCCCTCCAGTTATCAGGGTATGTGTACAAAGTCCCGCCGGCCATCTTCATGCGAGGAGAAAAGGATATTTCTTCTTTAACAGAATTTGTTTGCAGCCATAATTAAAATGGTCAACGAGTTATTTAAAATAAAAACAAAACAAAAAAATCTGCCTGTTGGGAATACAGTGGAGGAAAGGAAAGGATAAGAGGATATTTAATTGGAGCCAGAATCGCAGCTGCTGCAGAATCTGTAGGGAACACAACTGTCAATTGTATTTCAGAAAATCACAACCATGTCGTAAATACAGACATAACGGAAATATGTTTCAAATCATACCATCCTCAGCCAGCAGGGTGCAGTCTATCCTCTCAATTTAACATTTAGAATCATAAAACTAAGCAATAGTATCCTATCCATCTCTACAACTCTCTATATGTATATATACGGAGAGAGAGAGAGAAAATGTTATTCTTTAGCATTTTGGGGGCCAGAGTTCTAAAACTGAATAGGATTCACCTTACAATTACTATTAATAAAAAAATAGAATCTTACAGCATTTGAGCCATTTGGAGATTGGACCGTCACTATCATTTTGTATACCGGAATATATTTCTGCACTTTTTAATCTAAGATTAAGATCCCGAACTCAGTTATACAGCCGGTCTCACACATTAGTCAGCATGCTAGATTTGGCAGCCCATTGCAAAGCTCACTACACAGCTGACTAACACACTCGCGAGTAATTCTAGACTGTGTATCCTTCACTGGTCTCCCTGAATGTCAACAAACTCTATAAATCGAGAACTGAAACTTGCGTTGGGATTTTCAAACCCATAAAATTGCGTGTGTGTGTGTACACAAGCACTGATGTCTTTAGTCCATAACCCTACCTTCCAGTACCAATATTTGTATCAGGTTTGAAATGTATCCTTGTCTGTTAAAGGTTAGCAGGCGATGCACTTCTTAACATGTTATTAATACTGCTGATCATGTACTTATCACATTTCCAACAGATATGACGCATGTCCGCAAAATATTGCTCTCTCTCATTGCTGCCCTGGATCAAACAGCACTGAAGACTCACCACATGGCAGCAATATTTAAGTATGTTTGCTGATGAAAACATTATGACTATAACATGCAGATGATTTCACAGTTAAGATCATAGACTTGTGCCTTTTTTCACATTGGGAGATACTTTTTTCCCCACAAATGGCGTTCGATTCCTAACCATCTGCCATACTACACTTATGAAGGAACATAATCCTCGATCATGCAATTTAATGCATAATAACTTGACAGCCATTGAGCTGGGATGGATTCTGCAAGCCTAGATGATAAATATCTCATTCACTCATTCCTTGTAGCTTCGTAGGGTGCACTTGAAACTGCGGCATGTATGAGATGACATTCTTAACAGACCCTCTGTTATCATACGAGTTAGTGATGAACTCAGAAGATGTGTCTTTTATGAAGTCCATCTGTTTATAGGGAATGTTTTCCTGGAAAGGATAGGTCTCCAAGGGATTTTCTGAAAAATAGTTTTCGGCCTCGCTTTGCTGTGACGAGTCAAGTCCGATGTAATAGAGGCTCCTCTCTATGTTGCAAAAATCAGCAAAACTTTCTTCGTGATCTGAAGGTTCCGAGAAGCCTTCAGATGATACGGTGGAGTTGGAAGACTGCTTGCTGGGCTGCTTTGGTTGTAATCCCGATAATATAATAAAAGATTGTTGCTCGTCTTCCAGATTTCCAATAACTAAAGTCTTGTTTTCCAAGAAACAGCCGTCAAAAGAACTAGCGCTCACTTTCCTCTCGTTAATATAGTTCTCTCTTTGCTGCGGATTATTAATTATTGATGCATACTTGACACTGGATTGGCATATGACACTAGTGTAAATGGTCTCCTCTACACCATCTTCGTAAACACAACTGCTACTCGTGGCACAGGCCGAGTCGTGGTCAGGATCATCAACTACCGTGAACAGGCCATTAACAATTGATATGTCATCTACATGTTCTTTCTGGAATGCTTTGTCAATACTCAAGTTCTCGAAGGACGTTTCTGGTTCCAAGAGATACACAGAGTTGGGAGCCAGATGTTCATGGTGCTTAATGAATAGGTTTTCTAGAGTATCTGGCTGGACAAAACAGCAACAAATTATGCTTAGTAGGTTTATTAGCGTCAGGAAGCGAATAGTTTAGATGTAAACATTGCGCAATATACATATTACATATGCAGCAACTGCTGCAGTGAATAACAATTAAGGAAGACATATAAGACTATTTCATTCAACAGTTGCCATAACAGATCAAACATATATACAGGAGCTCAAAATTATTAAGTAAAAATAGCTAGGACCGAGAAACCTTGGTAGGGTATGTTGAAGACAAAGCGTGTTGCATTAAGGGTAGGTCTAAGCAATTTTTTCCAAAAAATAGCATGAAATCATAATTTAGCAGAGCTAGTTAAGAGGACATTGCTAAATATTACTTCACCCTCAAGGAAATAAACAATTTTTTTTGGGCCCAAATTTAGAGATGGAGGATTCAGAACCATGAATTTATACCAAAGTAGTGAAGTGAAGAGATTCTAAAATCAGCCATACTTCCAGTCTAACTATTTTGGCCTACAATTTTTAATTCACTTTTCTTTGAATTCTCGGCTCTTCCCACTTTGATGAATAATCCTGAGAAGAAAACCATAAGCTAAACACAAATAAGAACAGGTTCTGTTTAGAAGCTAACCTTTTGAAAATTCACTCCTTGAGCCCACGAGCAGTACTTGGGGTTTGGAACATCTTTCCAGAACATCTGTTTCATCCTGTAAGAAAGAAATTAAAAAAGCTGTTCATGTCTGCCTTCATATACCTCA